AATGTTATGTGTTAAATATTTATATTAACACGATAATTGCGTTAATAATATTTTATGTTTACATTTTCACTTATTTTGTTTAAATTATTTTCAACTAACTTAAAACAAAATTTATATTAAGAAAAAAATAATAAAATCTCGGCAGTTTAAATATAAAAAAAAAATTATTTTTATATATGTATTTATATGTATTTAAACAAAAATTGAATAATATATAATTATAGCAAAATATTTTATTTTCTCAGCAAAGAATTTTAATTTGTGTGATTCAAATTAATTTATGTAGATAAAATATATCTGAAAAATAAAATATAAATATATAATATATATAAATGTGATTGCGACTAATAAGCCGCTAGACGCCATTTTACTGTCGCCATTGCGTCAGAAATTCAAATGTTAGAAATTAAAAAAAAAGTATGAAAATCTTTTTGAACGCATAAAAATTGGAACAGAAAACGTAAATTAACACTTAACTTTGCATATAAGTGATATATTGTATATTTGTATATATGTATATATACTAAATTATATATACAAATGTTTGCATTTAGCGTAGTACGAGTATTTGGTATGTAAGATACAAGCGCGGTCACATGCTCCCGAAATACGCACGCAAATGTCGAGATAAATAAATTAAAAAAAATATCTATGTATATATATATATGAGTATTCAAAATAAGATAATATAAGATACAAAAGATTGTGAGAAAAAATATATATTTTTTTTTTGCTACAGAGTAAAAAATATTTGAAGAATGAAAATTTATTAAAAATGCGCGTGTTCAGATGTATTTCTGTGCTAAACAGCTAAGTCCACAAAAAAGTGGGTGTGAGTTGGCGTATGTATTAGATTTATAAATATTTTTTAAAAATCTTAAAATTTTTTTTTGAGTATATTTATTAGATTTTTACTTATACAAAAGATCAGTTAATATTAATACATACCATGAACTCCACTAGCAACGAAGCATATATTTACAACTTATTAGGCTACGTATTTCTTTATAATTATACAGGGTAATAAGTGACATCAATTCTTAAGTCGATATTTGATTCAAAAAAAAAAAAAATAAAAACGAGAATTGTTTCCTTTTTCAATACTAATTAAGATAGCAACTCTCAAAGATAAGAGCACTTGAAAAATAATAATTAAATTAAAAAAATTAATAAAAAAACTTAATTAAATCCTAATTATCTTAGAAACGTTACCTTGTTTCCATTTTAAATATCAATCGAGATAGAAACTCATAAAGAAAAGTCCTCTCAACATATGCATTACAATATAAAACCATTCCATTTTGAATATTAACCAAGATATAGTCTTTAAAAAGAAAAGCCTATCAATATACGCATACCATATATTCGAATAAAAAACCCAAACTATCCTAAATAAACTTTAACCAAATAGCTATAGCTTAGAAGTTGGTTTTATTTTAAATATTTAATTAGAAAATTTTGCTGTAGAAATACTTTCAATCAGAAAGTTCTAGCTATGTATATGATAAAGTTTTTACCCAAGTAGCTTGGTTCTACTTTGTTTATTAACTGATATACAGACTTCCTAACAAATCTCTATTCTTAGTATATTTCAAAATTATCTTAAAAAGTATCAAATCAAATAACTTAGTTTCAAGATAGAAACTCACAATGAAAAGTCTGTCCAAAAAAATATATTCAATTGAAAAACTCTCACTGTCTCAAAAAGTATTTTTCCAAATGGCATAGAGATTGGTTCCATATTGAATATTATGGATCTTGAAGAGTTGTTTAATGGTTCCATCTTGAATTTATTGTTATTAAAATAGTTTAGCTTAGAACGTGTTCATCAAACAATATACACAAATAGCTAACAAATACTCTAACTGTCTCAGAAAGTTCTTATCCAAATAAATGAATATTTGTTTCCATTTTCAATAATAATTGAGATAGCAGCTCTTAAAGAAATCTCTACCCAAAAAAGTATTTAATTGAACAGCTTAGAGCAGTGGTTTCTAACCAATGGTCCACGAGATGTTTAAAAATTGTCTGTGAATCAAAGTTAACAGGCATGGATACTTAGCTTGTAGTTTGTTCACTAAGACCTCACGTCTTAGTACCTAAACAGTCATAGGTATACATTATATATTATACCAGCGATGAATAGAGCATATTAAAATAGTCATATAGTTTATTATTCTTAAACATTGTAGTCTCTAGAGAGAGCAAAATATCATAGTGGTCAAAACAAAAGAAGGTTGGAACCATTTGCCTTAGAGGTTGGTTCTATTTTTAATATTAACCTTGATCGATTCATTTAAAGAAAAATCTACTGAGAAAATATATTCAATCGAAAAATACTAATTATCAAAAAATTTTTCCTTAAAATGTGTTTGAACAGATAGCTAAGGGATTGAACAGATAGCCTATAAGATAGCCTTCATTTTAAATATATTATAAACCCTAATATAGATTCTCAAAGAAACCCCATTTAATATATACAATCGATTAAGAAACCCTAACTATCTCAAAAAGTGTACATCCAAATAATTTAAGTTTGACACCAATTCTGCTCACATCAGAGAAAGAGTATAGAAAAGAGTGTTTGATGGAGTTGGAATTTCGTATGTGTTAGTATGACCCTGTATATATATCATGTTGGTATTAATAGATTGAAAAAATGAATGGAAAAATACCAAGCAATACTATTAAATTTAGTAACAATTATAGTTCAATGAATTTAGTGTACACCTGAATCAGAGAGCAATTATTTAGCTATAATTATAATTAGGTCAAAATTAAAATATGTATCGTGTAAAATATAATTTTAAAATTTATTTGAATAATAATTTGTATTCGTATGGAAGCAATTTGTAAATATTTTTCTTGTCCTTTAATGAACATGTCAATTTGTATACTTCAATTTGTATAAATCTATTTATATTGACATGTGTTTTGTTTATGCAAATTTGGTGTAAAGCTTTTTAATATTCTGAAACCTATTTCTACGCCCACATATTCCGGCTCAACCGTCATACGCATTACCCATATGTCGTCATAAATTTGGCAAAAATTATAAATAGAATTAAATTAGCACTTGGCATTTATTTAACTGAAAAGTTAAACTCAAACAACAGTCATAAATACTCAGTGAAAAATGTAATTACTGATTATAATACTAGTTTATACTATAGTAAAATATGTTTGAAATTGGGATATTCCATTTGGAACGAAAAAATGAACAATTGCTACCAATACTTGATAGCTGAAGGTATTTTGATTGTGGTAGATCAGTCCAGTCTGATGTTTCTATTCGTTTTTCTGACAGAATTGGAAGAAATTAACTATTTCTAAGCCACAAAATGGCTGTGGATCTATAAACAGTGAAGATATTTCGATCATGCCTATTTTGTCCACCATCACATGAAATTCATTTAATCCGTATTTGATTATCAGCTAACCATTTAGTTATATATTTCTCACTTTTTGAAATACGAAAATATCATTGAAAACTCTATTCCGATTTATTTTAAATATTTTTAAAAATGATTGGCGGAATTATTATTTATTTTTTATAGGTCTGTAATTACAATTGCATTCGCTTTAAAGTAAACAATTCATTATTATTTCATACATGGAGAAGATAAAAACCTATTTGCTTTATATATATTATAATATATGTGTTCGTAATTGCGGTTGCGATATGTAAACCCTTAAATTAAAATATACGTTAATAATAGTTTTTATCATAATACCATCTATATTGCCTTTAAGGTGAGTCACGCAATTTGCGAAAAAGTCAATTTGTAACAAAGTTTATTAACAAAAAAAATCGATAAACCTATAAAAGTTTAAATTACTGCTTTAAAGGATATATTTTCTCACTGAATGTAACTTAAACGAAAAAAATTTTTATTAATTACTCAAAGTGAATTTTAAATTAAATTAGATCATATTTAAATAATTATGAATACTTTAATAATTAGTACATAGGTATATATATTTAAATCAGAAAAATTTTATTATTATTATTAAATAATAGGCTATGAATGCACCCCACCCTAAAAGATCTATTGTGCACCTAAAGTTCAACTAAAACAATTCTAGACTATTTATAAGTCTCGTATTTGCTGTGGGTTTAATTTTACCTATTAGATTTGAGTTCAAGATCCCGCTTCCAAGTTGTAGAGATTATGTTCTGATGTTTCTTTCTCCTCATGACAGAGTCATTTTCTGCCACATCTATATTCTTCATGCGGTAATTGAGTTAACAGTGTTCTGTAAGTAGTTCACTGTAGAGTTTAATATCGTTTCTGCTTAGGTTAAGGACAGCGTCAACTTTGATGTGTTCAGAATGAATAAATCTTCTTCACTGTCGCATGCCTGTTTGGGCTCTCCAGTGTTTTGTTTCTCCCGTTCACATATTAAGTTATTTTTGAAGCTATTTGTCACCCCGTAGAAGGGCTCTGGACGAGAGTCTGCCATTTCATTGCCCGCATGCCCCAGTACACACATAAGAGTTACATAGTTCTTCGATGCTAAAGTATTGGGAAGTTTAAAACATTCCCAGACCAACTTCGATTGGAATGAAGAGTTTGCTAAAGATTTTATAGTTGCCTGAAGATTTAAGTCCATAAAATGTCTTTTATATTTATCATTAAATTAATTTTTAAAATATCAATATCAAAATCAATTATTCTATAATAGATTATGAATTATAATTAAATATTTATATATAGTTTCCAATATAAATAATTAAGTGAAAAGTAATAATGTTGTTCATATATAGTATATTTCTACGCAAAATCTATAAAAATTTATTTTTTATTTTTATTATTTATATATTTATACTCGTAGAATATAAATTTAAATAATTTATAAGTAAAATTTTTTATATTTTGATTTAATATATAATATGAATATTTTCTATATGAAAATACAAAATATCATAAAAATATAAAATATATATTATAATTTAAAATTATATTTAATAATATTTTTTTGTTTGTTTTTTTTCTTAGGGTCTGGAATATTTGTGTCACCTTCAGGTCTACTAGTTCGTACTGGTTCCGTTGGTGTTAGCTTTATAATATGGCTGGCCTGTGGTTTGCTGTCATTGTTTGGTAAGTAATTGTTGATCTCGTATAGATTTCATTTACAATACATTTTTAACCGCTGAACTATTAATATTGGTAACTAAATTCACTAATACTGAAGTTAACAATAATTAATTTACTAATTATTAATTTAGTCTAATGAATGAGATTTATTAATAGTAATTAAAAAAATAAATTTCAAAGATTAATAATACCAACAAACCAAATGGACAGTAATAAAATAGAGTTTTATTTAGGTTTTTTATATAATATTTTATATATATATTATTATTATTATTATATATAATATATATAGTTTATAGTTCATCGTAGGACTATTGTATCTTATCCTAACTATAGTCACTGAAGTACTTGTTTTCACTTCACGTTTATCTAGAAAAGTACTAATTTATTCTAGAACTATACTTAACTTCTTTTGTTTCGTGCATCAATTTATTAAGGAAAATTCTTCTCCCATATATAAGCTGAGCATTTTCCAAGAATATATATGGATGTTTATGTGTCCATAGTCTGTATTCCACGCGCTATACGCTTTTTCTAAAGACACTACCAGTCTTTACTACAATTATTGTTTTCAGTTCCGATCTATTCAGGTTTAATACTAGCCTGAAATTTCACTTCCCAAGTACGTCTTCGTTTGAGTTAAACGGATTAGTGTTGCCAGACAATGGGTACCAACACCATCTAGCGACAAGAAAATGCGTGTATTTACCAATATCACCCAGTATTTTATATTAAGTTTTTAAGAAATATTTTTTTTTACTTTACTATTGTGTTATAGTATGTCATATGATATGCTTGATTGCTTTGTCATTTATCGCATTTGAAATTAATTTCAAAAATAAACTTTGAATCAATGAGTATCTTTAAAAATGTACAGATGAATGAATGGCTTATCTTAAAAGGGTATTAAGTGCTCTAAATAGCAGAAGCGTTGAATTGAATCACTTGTCGATAATTGCATTTCATAATAAATTGATGACTAAAAATGCAATATAATTAACAGGAAATGGACTTAACCCGCGTTCCCTTAGGGTATTTTATAGCCATTGCTTTAGTACTTGAATCAACCAAGCGATTGGATTTAGATACAATGTAGATGTAGATACATGCATATACAGACTTTCATGTATTTACAACCAAGCTCAGTTTGCAAACAATTAATTGATGATAAATCTATTTATGTAAATAGATAATAAACAATAAACAATATTACATCAGATTCAAAAATAAACATTAAATATAGTCATAACAAAAGTATCGATTTCTAAATAAAAATCAACATTTTTCGGACTGATTTCTTAATAAAATTTTTAATTCATTCTCCGATTCCCTTGCCAATATCAATATTTAAGCAGTCTTTTCAGAACGTATTGCACATATTGAAGGTGTTAACGATGTAGTCAAAATATTGATGTTGAATTATAAATTACAGAATTAAAATTATTATGACTCGTAGATATAAAGATACTTTCTGTGCCATAAACATTTGCACTCGGAGGCACTGATTGCAGGCATTTTACACTCAGATGCAGATTCATTCAAATGGTGTGCAATTAATTTCAATGCTCATAAATACTGCGACGTATCTGAACTAATTCAATATAATTATTCAATTAAATTTCGAACAAATTTTGGCAATATTTCAAAATATAATTTACAAATCGAAATAGTTTTGTTTTTTGGTTTATTTAAAATTAGATAGTGCAATACCATGACATGCCTTCAATGTAACAATGAACTTTCTGCTATCATTTAAGTGAATTGTGTTCATTTTGATGTTGAAAGGATATAGAATTAACAGACTAGAAAATAATTGTTAATGAATTCAAATAAATTATATTTGGTATATAAAGACAATGTCTGTTTCCCAGACCATAAGTATTAACTTATGAATGATATCTAAAACTATTGGAATAGTCTTGAGAGAATTGGCAGGTAAAAAGCACATCTACCCTACCTTGTTAGTGTTCTAAGTCATAATGGGGATCCGTTATATCGGTTGGACTCAATAAGAAAAAACATACACCCAGCTCAGCATGTTAGAGATAGACTATAGTCACAACAATATTGCTGTTGCAATTCATACTGGAGATAAGCTAATGCTGGGGGTTTCAACTAACTGAAAACACACCGCGCAAACCATGTTAGAGGTAAACTATATTATACAGCAATGTTGTGGTGTATCCATGATGTAGTCAGAAATTAGAAGGGGGACGCCCTTAGTTTCTTTTCAGCAAACAGTAAGTACCGCTAGTTCGACTTATTCAGAAGAATTCTATTTAAAAGCAATGAAGATGAAAATTAAATTTTTGTATTGAGAGAACTAGGTTATAAACACGAGGGAGAGATGAAACTTTAAGATAATAGACTTAGAAGATATTAAAGTTCGTTTATCAAGAGTTACTAAGTAATTTTATCATTTCCAAAATGTCTTTTTCATACCCAGTTATACTGTTAAAATTTTCAGCAGGAATATTATCACACGACATTTATAAGTTTATAATTTGAAGCTGTTGATTGTTTACTATAGCAAGCAAAAGAATACAATTAGTAAAAGTAGTATTTAATAATTAGAGTGATTAGGTTATAGTTCATCTTGTACGCCTCTTGGGCGTATGCAAGAGTAATAACTCTTTGGCACCAATCGTAGTTACTCTTTATCGGTCTAAAATCGATCGTCTCTTTCTAAAAAGTAGGTAGTTATAAAGGTGCGGTTTTTAAGAGGGTACATCATCTTTGGTAGCGATGGATTAATACTTGATAAGTAACTGTTTTGTTAGTGTATGGATGGAGACACTCAAGATATAAGGATCAAACATTTTTCCAATTCAGTTTCAGATTGGTTGGGTTTAGGTTTGGTGTGTGCTTAGACAAATAAAAAATAATTATAAATAATTATTTTAATTAATATAATTAACGTTATTCTTTTCACTTTTTAGGCGCTTTATCATATGCTGAATTGGGGACAATGAATACTTCGTCTGGAGCAGAATGGGCTTACTTTATGGATGCATTTGGACCGGCACCAGCATTTTTATTCTCATGGGTATCAACGTTGGTGCTAAAGCCATCACAAATGGCTATTATTTGTCTCTCATTCGCACAATATGCAGTTGAAGCATTCGTTACGGAATGCGATCCACCAATGGCGGTTATTAAAATGGTTGCTTTGGTTGCGATAGGTATGACAAGCTATAAAATATCTCAAATAGTAGGATCTTAATGGTTAATTCTATTTTTTTATATATCTATTTCTAGTTATGATACTCTTTGTTAATTGTTATAGTGTAAATTTGGGTATGGCTGTGCAAAATATATTCACTGCTGCAAAATTGGTAGCTGTTTTAATAGTTATTAGCGGTGGTGCTTGGAAATTATTCCAAGGCAATACACAACATCTATCGAATGCATTTAGTGGACCTACACCCACCATGGGTGCAATAGCAACAGCTTTCTATACTGGCCTTTGGGCTTATGATGGCTGGAATAATTTAAATTATGTCACTGAGGAAATTAAAAATCCCAGCAAAAATTTACCACGTTCCATCGTAATTGGTATACCATTGGTGACACTTTGCTATGCACTCATAAATATATCATATCTGGCTGCTATGTCACCCACCGAAATGATTGATTCGGAAGCAGTTGCTGTTACATTTGGCAATCGCATATTGGGCGCTATGGCGTGGTTAATGCCATTAAGCGTCACGATCAGTACATTTGGCAGCGCAAATGGCACACTCTTCGCAGCGGGACGGTAAGGCATGAATCAATTCTTAGTACTTTTATTTTTTTTGTTCTTTTTAAAAGTTAAAAATGTGTTATGGGATAATGATATGGATCAATTAAAAATAAAAGATCATTAGTTGGATGCGCTGGTGACTTAATTTTTAATATAGAAGAATTTTTGCATTTAATTTTTTTAATATCTTCCAGTTTGTGTTTCGCTGCCAGCCGTGAAGGACATTTGCTTGACATACTATCCTATGTACATGTGCGCCGCCTAACACCAGCTCCAGGATTGATTTTCCATGTAAGTTGCTTATAAGTAATTATTCGCGATTAAGAATAGTAAAAAATTAAAAATTTATTATTATTTATTAATAATATGTTAATGTTGGAGTCTCAAAGTTACTTACGCTCGGGTAAACGAATAGATCCTTCCAAAGACCACTGATAATAGATATTTGGTTGAGTCCATGGTCAGCCCAAGAATTGATTTGATTAATATTAGGTTTTTGAATTAAAATTTTTTTTCATTATTAAAATAATAATTATTTATGGAGAGTTAAACCAATCGGTGTTTGCAAAGACCATTGACGATGCATGTTTGGTAGGGTAGACACAATAATTTATTTGATTAAATATTAGTTTTTGGATTAATAACACTGCAATGCTTACAACCACTTTTCAAACACAAAAACCTTAGCGCGAAGAACAGAAATCTGATCTACAGCTAGATAATTAGACCAGCACTACTTTATGAATGTGTCGCGTATAGCAAAGCTGTCGATTGTAAACTCCAGAAGCAACAAGTTGCTCAAAGTCAGGCTCTCCGAAGACTCTTCAAAGTGCCATGCTAAGAGACCTTAGAATAGATCCTGTCAAAAAATACGTAAGGGACAAAGCCCTGAAGCTATATACGAAAACCGACAAGTTGCCCTACTTAGCATTATCTAATCTAAGAAGAAGAATTAAAATTATTTATGGTTAATTAAACTAATAGAGATTTGTGCACTGCGACTTTGAGATCTATTTTAATCTCATGTATTGTTTTTCCCCAAGTCAGATTTGTTCGATAAATTATATCATTGAACTATTTTAACCTAGTCTTATATCTTTATCCTATATAAGATACCCACTTAGGTATTATTTTCGTCTATAGATCAGTGTAATTTCCTTGCTATGATTCGAATTTCTTTTTAAATATTTTGTCTATATTTATATATATTTAAAATATTCTTATAATATAAGAAATTTTTGTTCATTAAACAATAATAAAATATTAATATAAATAATTATAATTTTAATCAATTTTAATTTTTAATTTTAGTCACTCATTGCTGCAGCTATGGTGCTATATGGTACAATTGGTTCGTTAATTGACTTCTTCAGTTTCACCGCATGGATATTCTATGGCGGCTCCATGTTAGCGCTTATTGTGATGCGTTTCACCAAACCCAACTATCCAAGGCCATATAAAGTGCCTATTATCATTCCTGTTGTGGTCTTGGTGATATCAATGTACCTTGTAGTAGCGCCAATAATTGATATGCCGCGTATTGAGTACTTGTACGCTCTGGGATTCATACTAGCCGGTCTAATATTCTACGTGCCATTTGTCAAGTTAGGCATGACACCGAGATTTATGAGTAAGTCAGCTGATATGAATGCAAATAAACTACATATATATAATTAATTTATTTATTATTTTTTAGATAAAGTGACGTTATTTTTCCAACTGTTGCTGGAGGTGGTGCCTACATCAAGCATGAATATGTTCGATTAAAAATTGCTCAAGTTTGGGATATTATTACAATTTAAACTTATATTAAATATCAATATATCATTCACACATGTTGAGAGTAACTATGGAATAGTTGACACAAATATTCAAAGTACATGCGTTCTAACATTCATATTATAAATAATATATTATAAAATAATTATCTTTATAATCAAAATAAAATAAAAATTTATTTTGTAGTATTTAAGAAATAAAGGAATAGTTTTATATTGTTGTCGAATGCTAGTAGTTTCTTAGTTAAGAATTATATATATATATATCTGAATATTTATATATACATATATATATATATATATATGTCTATCTACTTATATGTGCTACATATGTCCGTAGCAATTCTAATTATTGTTGAACAAATGCAAATTTTTAAATTAATATTTAAAAGAGATTATATATGTATTTGAAAGAAGATTTATATTTTTAAGCTTAAATTTTATTTATATACAGAAATACAAAACTACATATATATGTATATATATTTTATATTTTACAAACTGTATTTAATATATTATAAATTTTATATATATTTATTAGCAAAAAGGAACTAGAGAATAATTGATAGAAGACATAAAAACTTGATAATTTTGTTGAGAATCCTAAAACGAATTACGTATAATTGAGTGTATAAGGATAAAGGAATTTATTATAATAGCAATAACATAAAATGTGGTTATTTTTAAAATTAATTTTAATTTAAAATTTTTATTTTTCTACATTAAAACAAGAATTTGTTGTGAATATCTGCGACTGCAAAACAAAAAGCATTAAAACATGTTAAGTTATTGTTAATTGTATTTTGTTAAAAAAATTTTTAGATTAAAAAAAAATTAATAAGTTAAAAAAAAAGACTAAAAAAAAATCAGTAAAATTTAAAATTAAATTTCTTTGAAAACAAAAAAAAAATTACAAAATAATATATAAAACTTAAGCATTTTATTAACATATTTTCATATATCTCTAATTAAAATATTATAATGTATTCATTTTGTTTGAGTATTTAAAAAAGACAAACAGTTTAACTCAAAATTGTCTATTTTGTTTTTATATACAATATTTAATAAGCCTTTAAGGCTTCAGTGAGTTCCTTCTCGAAGGCTCCCATCTCCACCTATATACAATATAATAATATTATATTTATATATATCAAATTTTGCTGTGGTTTGTTTTTTAAGTATAAAACCTTTTCTAATTTTAGTGTTAGTTCTTCTATCCTATTTTCTAGTATTTTGTTATATTTCTAATATTATATTTTATTATATAAAGGCAACAATTATAATATTTAAGTAATACAATAAATTTGAATAAAGTTTTAATATCATAAAAACATATATTCTGTCTCTAGAGTTTATAGGGTAGAGGAAAGGCGAAAGTAACAACAGAATATTTATTTTGTGAAGTCCCTGGTTTGGTAAGACTCAGATATACAACTATAGAAGTCTACGAGCCTGTTGGTTATAGTAAATATGGGTCTTTGAAACACAATCTCATTTATCAACTGCCTAAGTTACTTTAAAAATCAAGAATTTCTCTATAGAGTGTGGTTATAACAAAACGGTGATTATATACTGTTTGAATATAAAGGGAAGCTTTACTATGAATAATTGTTCAGGTTTAAATATAATAGAAACTTCAATACAATAAATAATGTAATATAATAATATAATATTAATGGTTAGAGGCAGAGGTTTTTTCGCGGTTCCGTTCCAATGATAAAATTTCCAAAGAAACGGTTATTTACTTAGGTGATCAAAAATAGAAAAAAAAGTTCGTATAAAAAAGCCACCATTTCAAGAATTTCCAGATCGTAAGAAAGATTTAACGAGATAATGAAGCTGAGCTTAGATATGTTCTAAATTGTAATATATATCAAACCATAGATTACGTATAAAATATTGACAGATTTACATATAACACATTAATAGCACTGTAAAGCCCATTTAGAGTGCTCTCTCCAAGACGCATCCTTTGATCTCATTCTTTATATCATAGATATATTGGCATCTTTTGCAATAAACTAATAACACATCCAGTATACTGTTCGAGCCTATGATTGTCCTACAACAAAGTTCTCAATAGCCCCATAGCCTTCGCCTAACATTTCTCAGGAAGAACGAGGATTAAATATATATATATATATGATATTACAGGGCTTTTTTGTTAATTATTTGATTAATTTTTTTAATATATATTTTAAATAACATATTTGTATTTTTATTGTTGGCAGGATCACCACGTAATGTTTGTATAATGAATTTATTTATTTTCTGCAAATGGTTTAAAACTCTATTTGAAACATCATTTTATTTAAATTCAAGCACTAATTATAAAAAATTGAATTTGTCAAAGAATACAGTGGGACAATCGAGGCTACAGGATCTATTGAGAATAGGTCGCATATCTTACCTATATTAACATGAGACATTTAGAATTAAAAACAACATAATGTTCTTCAAGATTGATTTTGTTTATATTTTTCTTTCTTAAATATTACATAAATTTAACTCTTAATTTTATGTAATAATTTTTAGTAGTAAAATATGCATAAATTTCTTATATTTAATTGTTTACATGCAATATCTTATTTCCATATAGTTATCTTATTAGTTACAAATATTCTTATATTATTTATTATGTTAGCCACAGTCATTACTCATTGTTACCTACGTATAATCACTTACTGTAAATGGGGCAGATATTATTGCATATGATTACGGAAAAACATTCACCTACTCCCATGTGTTCCAAATGTGAAATCCAAATTGCCAAGTGCATATTGAAATAATTAAATATAAAGAAAAATGTTTGTCATAAAGAAATGATAAACAATGAATCGAATTACGGATTTAAATAATATTTTATTTTTAATTTGGTAATTTATGTTTCTTGGTCATGAGTGGTAATCAGAATGGTCAAGATTTAATATGATACTACACTTATTACTGAGTTTCGGCCTGATGCAATTCTGATACTTCATTAACTGATACTTAGCAAATACATAAACATTATAACACATTTTAATACATAATATATAAACCGTAACATATAAATATTTGAATAGTTGAATATTTTTTAATATATAAATAACTCAGTGTGAATAAATAATTTAAGATTAATAATTATATACAAGTAATAGAACAATTATTTTCTCTGTAAAAATATAGCGCAAAAATGTTGAAATAACACATCTATATACACGTACAATAATTATATTTTATGCTGTTTTGAATTCAAAAATATAACTCATTCATTTAACAGAACATTTATATATGCAAGCCCCACAATTTAGCAATAATCGTTTTCCAACACTATCGAAAACAGCTGTTAGCGTATTTTTCAGTGCAACAACAAAAAAGTCTCAATTGTTCATAACGATTTCTGTTGCTTTAAATTCTGGGAAAAGTATTGATATTTCACGTAATGCAGATTGTTCACTATCTGAGCCATGGCAGGCATTTCGCGTATCTGACAAACCATATAAAGCACGTATACAATCAGGATGAGAATAAACAGCTTTATATACTTTAGTAGGACCCATCAAGTTGCGCCACTTTTGTATACAGTCTTGTGATTGCAAAATGAGCGCATAACTTGGACCACTGTAATATGAAATCATTTTACTTATTTAATTTATAAACTAAAAGAAAATATATTTTCGTTAACCTTATCATAAACGTCATTAGGCGATTGTAGAAAAATTTTCCTTTATGTTCATTGTAAAAACGTTCAGACAATTCCTTGGTTATGTGAACTTGCTTGGAATCGAGAATAGTAAAATTCTTCCCAATGAGATTTTTAAGATTTCTGAGCGCGACAGTATTACGTACAACATGTGGTTTAATTATTGCAAGTGTTATTTCCATATTTTTATTAATATTTATATGAAAAAAATAATTTTACCGGCACAACATATTACGCTTGAATTCGCACTGTTTATACACTATAAAAAATGTTGCGTAAGTCGCTGCTACTCAGCTCCAAAAAATTCATATAAAGGAATTTTTATTTGTCTATTTTGGTAATAATAAATACACAATAAATGATATTCCAAAAGTAATGTATTTAACGTTGAAAGATATTTAAATTACAGAAAAAAAATTTAATTTATATATTTTAAAAAAAATTTCTGTTCAATATTAACTGCTTCTAAAATTGGGAAATACGTACTTCACGCCTAAAAAGATAATTTTGTAAAATAAAATTTACTCAAAATTATTTATAATTATTGTATAGGCCGTGTACGAGTTCGAGTCGGTAAAGCAGCGAATGTTGGTATTTACCAGAATTTCAAGTAGGGTAAATTAAATAAAAATTAGGTAAATTAGGTGTTACCTTTGTGAAAATTTTATAAGATGGTTAATAAATAAATTTGAAAACTTTTGACCAAAAATAATAAATAAATGCAATAAATAAATAACTAAATATTTACATAAAATATTTAAATAAATAAATATTTACATAACCTCAATTTACTCGAACTCACGCACGGCCATAACTATCATTATTATTAACAGGTAAAGACCTGATACCGGTATGTTTAGCTAATGAAGTTACCTGAACACATATCAGATTAATTATATTAAAAAAAGATAAACAGAATTTATTGCTAATTCGGTATATATAATCTTCTATAAATTGTTTTTGTTAAATTAATGCGTATCGAATTACTAAGCCATTAGAAGCGGTAATAATTTTTTATTATTTTCTAAAATAATTGCTTTCTTTTGCTTTAAACTTTTACTCGGAGAAAAAAAAATCGACGGATCAACTAAGAATAATAATATATATAATGCATAATATATGATTAGAATAAGAAATATATACCGAATAAATACTCTGATTATACAAATCTTACCTATTTTAATTAAAATTCTTTACATTAATATATCCCTAAAGTAATAACTTACGAAATTTAATTTTATTGTAAATGAATTTGATATGTTTTGATTTAGTGCCATTTGTTGAGTCATCAATTTTGTTATCCAATACAGGGCTAAATGCATAAAGTTTTAATATCAACTATTTATTATATAGATGTATAATACATTACCTGTTCCACAGTTAAGAACATTTCATCTGATGGTACTTCAGATGGAACATTACATGGATTTTCATCACTAGTTGAGGTGTCACTGCGTGATGCTTTTGCGAAATATGGCATGACTCCAAATACTGCTGCTGAGGTACTTGTATTTGAGTCACTTGAGCGACATACAGATTCCACAGTTTTGGAATTAGCAAATGAAATTGGTCTCTTCTGATTGTATGGAATTATTGGTCGAACATACTGATCAGCATCATCATACCAATGAACATTAACAGGATATTTGTTACGTATATAATCTCTATAAAATTTTGCACGAAATTCTCTATTAGAATCAAGTCTTTTTGTATCTGACCAGATTGTTTCAAAGTTATTGAGTGGTGGATTAGGTGTAGCTAAACCAATATAAATTTATTGGATATCAACTAATTTATATATTGTGTAAATGTACTTACATAAGTCCTTTATTAATTGTATTGGATATTCCCTAATTTCTTTTAACTGTTCCTCTACATAAGATGAAGTTTTGTTGATGTTTTCAGTGGAACCGGGAATATAACGGAAACCAAGATCTGGTTCTTCAGCACCACCATAAATACTCCAATCCATATACGCTTTTCGAAATGTCAATACTGATTCGTCCTTAACTTCATCGTCAGTAGCTAAAAATTAGAACACATGTTACACTAGTTATTATATGTGCTTATATAAGAATATATATTCTTACAGAGAACACTATTAATTGTCCCTTCAACAATTTCGGATGTTTTATCCATTAGGAACTCTAGTTCAAAACGGGACATTTTGATTAAAATTTTCCACTTTATTATTTTGAATATTTTCCGGACATAAATGTTTAAAATGAAATAAAACTTTTAAGTTTTCTTTTCGGTTAAATTTAAAAATTGTATATTCCAAATAATTTGAGGAATCAAAAATTTGAAGTTATTGACATTTCAAAATTTTTTTAAAATCTTTAACGTTATAGTTAATAGACGAACGAATTTTGATTAATCGACCTATGTTATACTGATTAAAAATTTTGTCAATATAACAATAAAAATAAAATCAACGTTACACGAGACGATAATATGTGCTTTCATAGTATATACTTGCATAGTGAATACTACTTTAGGTACAAAATTCATACAAAAATGTGTTCTTGAGCTTTAATAATTATTAGTGTAAATTGAAAGACCACTACAGACGATCGGTGAAATATATTTACATTCATATATATATATATTTTATTATTATATCAAAATATTTTTATTATCTAATTATCTTATATTATCTAATATGCATATTAGATACTATCTAATATAGTATCTGATATGTCGCGGAAATAAGCTTCGGCTGTCCTAATCAACTGAGGTTGTCAGTGTCGTGGTGAATGTGGTTAAAACTCAAGCTTATACGGGAAAAATAATTGTATTCTTCTCTTATTCGGCTTGGAGTTGTGTATTAACACCATGTGCTTTGGCACAAAGATCAACAGAGGTTGGATGGGCCTCGCCCATTAACAAGGGGGAAGATATGTCAACCACATAACTTCAATTGGTGCCAGCGGAAGTTCCTTAAAATTTCTAATGGCGCGTCTATCGACGAATTATCTTGATATGTGTGTTTTTTAGAGTACCGTGGTATTAAGCAATTACTGGTAGGTATCCATGCTCAACAACACTGGATTCTGTCTCATTTAGGCAGTTTTGCTATATGAGATAAATTTGGTATACAAAGAGTTTTCATACAAATCAGCTCATTATAAAAATATCAATTGATTTAAACTGAAGAAAGGTGAAGCCAACCTTCAAAAATTAATACTAAATACTAAAATTTGAAAATTTCTCATATGGTTTACATGCTAAATATAAACAAACAACTCATATCACTTGCATAAATCATCTAACGCCAAGGGAAACGAACAAATCGTTATTTCATTAACATAATACTTCTACCTGCAGTGGAAATATAGTATTAAAACTTAGATTAGTATTCAAAAAAAAATTTATTATATATAAAATTTTTAACTTAAAATATAACGAAAATATACCGTATCTGTATTGGCGAAAAACCTAAGTTTTTACTTTTCAAAATACAACCCTGCGCACATATACTACTCCGTCAATCGTATATATATATGTATACTTCTGTCAAAACAGACCAGTTATTGATTTTCAGTTCAGAAGCAACTTTCATTCAGTGAATACAATCAAGCGATTGTAAATAAAACATAAATTAGTCATTATTATTTTAGTATAGTATTATTAAGACAGTTTAAGATGGTAATTATATTTTATTTGTGTAGTGTGTTATATAATGCAACTATTTGGCATTTAGGCAACAGCAAGTGGTAGCAGTAAAGGTTCGCCAGAAGAGCGCCGTATTTGGATTGGAAATTTAGACCCAAGATTGTCCGAGTAAGTTGAAATTTTCATGGCTTCCATTGTTTAGTAAATTTTCACTTCTTTCATAAAAACTAATTTTTTAATATTAAATTATTTTTCTTCTACTTTATTGGTATCAACTCCTTAAAATCGTGCAAAAATGCGGTCCAATTGAAAAGTTCGACATGCTCTTCCATAAAAGTGGCCCTTTGGTAGGGCAATCGCGTGGTTATGCATTTGTAACGTTTTTAACAGTAAGTTTAATGTTTGATACTAGATTTAAAGAATTCTATTAATATTTAATTTGTTTTTTTTAGACTGATGGTGCTAGAATTGCTTTACGGAAACTAAATGGTACACCAGTTGTGAATCGTCCAATCGCTGTGCGCTTGGCCAAAAATGTTAATTATGTACGTATATTGTATACACTTTAATATTTGTTTTGTTGATAGTTTTGTTCTGGAAACGGGCTAATTGGAAATTAGAATCAGTATTTCAGAGTATATAGGTATTTCAGGTGATTAATATGGTTGAAATATTGGTGTGAATATAAAATTTTTTAAGAACTAATGTTTTAAAGAAGTGTATTATTTAACAATTGACTAATTAGCTCGTGTCAAAAATAAAATTATTAATTAAGATTTTGATTAGTAAAAACAAATTAATAAAATTTTTTTTTTGTAAATTTTGTACTAATTTTATTGATATTTTTAGGATGAATTAGAAAAACCAAAACCGCGCATTGAAATACCTGCATTAGGCACCACCAAACGAGAGGGTAAAATCAGCACAGAAGAAGCTATACGTGCAATTGAGGCCAAACTTAAATTTTTAGAGAAAAACACAGATTTAGAAATGGAAATTAATACAATAGCTGGTAGCACAAATGGTGTGCCACCTGTACCATTTATACAGCGATATCAATTTAATAAAGATCGTGATGCCAACAACAGCCATCAACGCTCCGGACGTCTACATACAAAATCAAATTCCGGTCCATATAATCGTAATCATAGACCCAGACGTAGATAGACTCTCAGAGTATACTTGCAACTTTTCGAATTACGCATCTCATTTTATATTCATTAAAATAATTTTTATCTTGTATTTATTACAAAAAATGTCTTTTGTCCAATTTGTGTTCAGAGAATGCTCTTATTTAACAAATATAATTTTATTTTAAATAAAAAATTGTAATTTACAATTAAAACATTTGTTTGTTTATTTGTAAAGAACTTAGAATCTAGGGTGTGTGATTTTGCCGCGCATATGATTCGGTAGTGGCACGGTACCAGGGCATGGCAATTGGCCAGGAATTTCACATATGCAATGTCTATCGCAGCCATAGCCGAAATTCGCAGGATTATCTTTACGTTCTGCCAAGCGCGCTTCAGCGTCCAGTTGAGCTCTGTTAAATTCAAAGAGGCGGTTGTTTTAATTTAATAAAAAATTTTTGTTTAATAAAACTACACGTACTTTGTTTTGCCTAGCACTTTTATAAGGTGTTCTAAGATTTCATGACGACTTCTGCTGTCGATGTCCACAAGCAAATCACGGCCGTCTTCGTAGTAGCAACGCACGAAAGGCGACGGAGTCATATTTTTTAAGGTTAGCACTTGCACATTGGGATTCCTGTATTGCACTTGCGGTATATTCCAGAAAACAAATTCTCTATAAGCATAAATAAAAGCACATATGTGTAGAGAAATAGATTTTAACAAATGCAGATTTATTATTTATTAATTGTTTGCTTGTTACGTATTCACTCACTTGGCACCTTCATGGTGTTTGCCGAAAGTATTGTAATTAACACTAAATATTTTTATTTTATCCTTTAATATTAGCTGTCCACTATTCAAATATTTAATTGTGCGTCTTACAGGTGCAGGTCCTTTCATAAAAGGCATTTTGCTATATTATTTCTTGAACTTCACAAAATATCAAAACAATATGAAAAAATCTATCACTCAGCGATGTCGGCAATATCAGCTGATTTGTGTATAGGACAGTTTGAAGAGTATTATTGAAATACAATTCACAAAGTTTGAAAGATATTAATTGCTGTGTTATCGACGGCAGTGCAGTAGAAAAATTTGAAATGTACTGAATTTTTATTGCTTGTCTTTTTATAAAAATATAAAAATAAAGAAATTTCACTAATTGGAGTAGAACAGCTTTTATTGGTATTTATTTGTTTAAATTCGTAAAATAATAATATCATTAATAATAGTACCAAAACGGGTAATTATTTGAGGTCAAGTAGATTGTGAGCATAAGCTCTCCACTCCAACCATGTGGAGGAGATCTGAACGTCGTGATGGAAAGTATTTATGGTACAAGTAATTACTTAGCCCGTAGCTATATCCCAACCTCTAATGGGTAAGCTAGTTCATGCTGCACGAGGAAGACATCTTTTATCATCAATAGCTGATGATGTGAATCGCTATAAGAGGATATGGATGTACAGATTCGATGAGTAAAGGAAGTGCTTTACTGGTTAAAGCGTCATTTCGGTATTCATTTCTCTAAGACGGGAGTTTAACAAACTGGGATAGTAACTAATTGAGTTTTTTATAAGAAGTATATATCTTGAATTTTCTATAGAGTGGGTGAATATATGGAATGTTATAGAATTCAGATTACAGAATTTAAGACTAAAGTGGACGTTACTTCATTTATAAAATAAAATAGAAAGTTTTTGATGGTACTGGTATACAGAGAAGTGTGATGTTATTGGATATTGTGTCTTAGTGGAAGATCATAAGTTGTCTACTTCTATGCATGTATATAATCAGCATGAGTACGTTATCTTATCTTGAAGAACAGTCCAGCTTTTCTGATGTTTTAGTATTTTTTACAACCTTTTTGAAGGTCGAATTAAAAAGTGTTATGCATATAGAATGATATCTTGAATGACATGTGTAGATCCTAAATTTACCGATTTCTTACCTGTTAATAATATTTTCGGAAATATTGAACATAATTGTTTTAATGATAGTGACAACAATCTGAAGATAATGGATTTCTTTTTACAATTTGTTGTCATTATTTAAAAAATTATTTTATTTGGTTTACAGATATCCTTAACAGGTAGAAAAACTATTCAGCTAATTCAAAAGAATCTCAAGTAGTATCTTCATTTAGCCGAAGTGTAGAAATGTAAATTCTAAGAAGAAGACCGTACTACCTGCGATACGCTAGGTAAGATACATCTGGGTGACCGTAACCGTATAAACTATTTGGGAATTTTAGTAGTACTTGAAGCACTGAACATACTTGAAGCAATAGAAATTTTTCCGAAGTTAAGTGGCACTTGAAGCGTTGGGATATAGTTACCTACAATTTCCAAAGCCAGTTCTCAGGCCAGACTATAGTGGGATTTTAATCCAGATTATCTGTCGTTGTTTGATTACATATGTATGATACTATCATGTCGGTTTATTTAGGTAGAGTAGAATGAAATAATAAGAGAGAATCCGCATATCTTTTATCTTACTTTCATATGCTTTCATAGATTCTTCCCATTATAGAAGCTCAGTCATACTTTTATGTGAGAGAAATTAGTAAACCAACAGCGAAATTGGCACCTAAAGTACTGTTACAATTGTGGTAGGTATTATAGCTTAAACTAACTGAACAAGAGATACTTAGCCTTTTGAATGTTATATGGAATATTCTTATGTGTGAAGTTTTCAATGTAGTATTGGGTCAGAAACTGTTACTTTAGTATTTTCTTTCTAATCTAAACAGTAGTCAGAAGGCACGAAGAATGCAATTAGAGAGAAATGGGTCAGAACTATTTAGTATCACTTTAGTATTCTCTTTCTGATCTAAACAGTAGTCTGAGAGGCACGAAGAATGCAATTAGAGAGAAATGCGTCAGAAGTATTTAGTTTCACTTTAGTATTTTCTTCCTGGTCTAGACAGTAGTTTGAGAAGCACAAAGAATGCAATTAGAGAGAAAAGGGTTAAAAGTATTTAGTCTCACTTTAGTATTCTCTTTCTGCTCCAAACCGTACAAAGAATACAATTAAAAATCTTGTCTTCTTCCCGGCGCTATGTGAGGTAATTTTATACCGTTGTGTTACAAAATCCTGAATGTTTCCTAGAACCACCAACACTATTGCTTAGGGTTCATTAGTGAAAGCCAGTGCAAGACGCTTCAGCAGATTACTTTCTGTTGAAGATTTAGAATAAGAAGAATTTCTCATTTTATATTTTTTAGTTAAGAAATTACACATGCAAACCTGCATTAAAGTAACCATCATCTAAAACAAATGATGTTGCATGCATACCAATTCGTATTACCACATGTCAACTGCAGCTGTCTTGCCACTCCAAAGGAAACACTAGCACCAACTCCAGCACCAGCTCCAGCTATGCAGCAAACACACAATTGCTTCGAGCATTTTTCAGCGTAACTATGTGTCATTTTTTGTTTGGTTTAGAATGGCATAGCCTCTGCTCTGGCTCCTGGCTGCTAAGCAAAAGTAAAGCAAAGGCTAAGGCAAAGGTTCTGCATATCCTTGACTTCGTTATTACTTCTGCATTCATAAGTTGCCGCTCCTGTTGTTTTCCCTGCTGCTGCTCAGTTTCTACGGTTTATGTGTTGTTTCTAAGTGAATTATTAATGCAAATGACTCAAAAAACTACAAAAAAGAAAAAAATAAATAAAAAGCAGATTTTATACATGAAAAACTAAACTAATGTGAAGAAGGCATTTGTTGTCTCTGTTAGAGCACGACGAGCGCACATAACAATGCTAACTCGGTATGGACAATACTTATCATATAATATACGCATTAGCGGACACTTGCTACAGTTTGGATTCCCTGTGGTATGACTCGACAAGCCATACCACTTATGTGGTCTTACGTGTCCGGCTAAGACTCGCACTCATCCTCATCCTCATCCTCATTGTAAACATACTATTAAAGTGAAGAGCACGGCATTCTCCGTACGTGCACTGCACATTAGCATTTTTTATGGAACACAAGTACAAACCCATCTGCAGTGGTCATTATCAGGACCGCCAAGAACTTTTTTTTATATATGTGTTCCAACGTGATATGTTTAAGGGAAACAGTGTTGGAACATGACATTTGTTTCGCTTATGCATAGATATAAGTTTAGTTTAACGACTTTATATTCCATAATTGACTTTGATTTAGATTTTCCATTAATTGTGGTTTCATATTAATTTCAGCCTAACAAACTGATGAAGCTCAGTTCATCCTTCTTAGCATAAAATTTGATGGCAGGAGTAAATTCTATTCAGAAAACGAAAGAGACGATTATTTATATTGGAGTGATAGAGAGTTATCATTAACTGTCATGGAGTTCTGAGTGATCGAGTAGGTAGAATACCATATTAGTGGGGCATTAATTGTAGAACATGAGGTTCAATGGTGTGAATTGATTGGACAGGAAAAAGATAGTAACATGACAGAGTGCAATGGAACATTGAATTAAATCTTTGCCTTGACACATATAAGGTACTAATCTGGGAAAGGTATTGAAAAAGAAAATGACGATATGGTATATAATCTCTATCAAAAGAAAACTTGCTCCATTTAAATGTAATCTATAGAAAGTAATAGCTTAATGGAATGAAAAATAAAAGGAATATCTCGGATAGGATATGCTGGGCACTGACAGAGCAGTTAAGTAACACTTTTCTTTTGTTCTTACTTGGATTCTCAGCTGTTAGTTGTTGCTAGGAACCTTTAGGTGAATTTATTCCAGGATTGAAAAATATTTTTTTATCCAAATTCAGGATTTCACTTCTAAAATGTCACTGGAGTGTGTAACGGTATTGATGTGTAGAAAAGATTAATAAAATTAGTTCAAAGGTGATGTTAGCACTATGGAACTTAAAGTCTTCAACTACTTCAAAAATATATCTTTAAACGAATAGACTATGTAAAAAATGCTACGTGTCACTCAGTCGGTTTTATTCGATTATTAATCAGAAATAATTAATTTGTTAAGAACTATTAAAGCACAGTGCCCAGTGCTACTAAACGATATACAGAATCCGAAAGTATCATCGTAACCACTGTTTCTTATTGAGTTCCATGGAATCTGGAGTTCGATCATATAATAGAGTTTCAGAATGTGCTAAACGCATAATATCATTTGAGATCATACTCAACACCAAAGAATTAACAACGCTTAATCCAGTCGATATTGTTGTGTTCTAGACGGTAATTGCATACGGAATTCTGCTATATTACCATAGGATAGTATAATAGATTTTTCGGTCAAAAGGTTTTATAAACGTCTCAACGTGTAAAGAATGTGTTCTTAAGGGTAACTGCATACAGAATTTCGTTATATTAGAAAATGCTATAATAGATATTTCGGTCGTAGAATTGTTATATTCATAAAATACATAATCTCAACGGGCCCCAAGATTGTCCTACTATATTGATTTTAATAAAATGGCTATGCAATGTTCTAAAGTGGAACTCGAAGCATGCAATAAGGATTCTGGTATTTACAGATGCAGAACTTATCAAACATTCGCTGCATTAGAGACACCTGAAGAAATAGTAAATCGTCTTACTATATTGATTTCAACAAAAAAGGACTGTTCATTGTTGAAACGTCGTAGCATTAGATTAGGAAAAAGTGGATTGCTTTGAATATGGAAGTATTGCTATATCACAAAATTCAAAGCATGAAATAAGGATTTTTGTACTTACAGATACATGCAGAACTTCTCCAACATTCGATGCATTAGAGAATTAGTGTTTAAAAACTGTAAATGGAATACACAGTTGTAAATATAAAACAACAACAATCGAGAAAAACTAAATAAATGGCATGTTCATCCGTCTCCAACCAAACATTTTAACTGATAAAATTACTTTGGGAATTTATATGTTAATCCTTGAACAAACTTGACAACGACGTCTATGTAACTCTGAATGTTAAGTTAGTTCCAGAAAGCCAGAAATGACTTTCTTAATTGCAAAAATACTTGTACTGTTACTT